AAACCCTGACATCAAATATGTACAAACTATTTTTGTGCATATATTTTAAAATGGACAAATTGAAGGCTAAAAAGTACAGTGGGTGACATTTTGTAATATAGATCTAAATAACATGTTTGCATTAGGAAATGATTATTCTATAGATCATAAGGATCGGATTTAATGTGTCTTTAACAAAAATACAGCATTTTCAAATAACACAGGAATTCATACTATATCTCAATTAATTCAATTTTTTTAAAAAATTCTATTTTATGTGAAGCATAAATGTTGTATTTAAGGGTCATCGAGATTGCTTAGTAGGTGAAGGTGCTTTCTGCCAAGTCTGACAGCCTGAGCTTAATCCGGAACTAACATGGAGACAGGAGAGCTGATTCCTATAAGTTATTCTATGACTCATGCATACACATGCTTGTGCACACAACTATGCATGTTCAATAAATAGTACATAAGTATTAGATAATAATTAACTATATAAGAACATTCACATTCTAAAGGATATATCATTATAAATAAGGAACATCTATTAATAACATCCATTTCTTCTTGTTATGGGAAACTACATCTTATAGTTAATTACACTGGCAACGTTGCTTATGAGCATCCAGGCAAATAAATTGATATGAATTATTTTACTGGGTCGGTTGCCCTTCTGACTCAAAGTTCCTAAACAAATTTTTTAGATCAATTTAGAGGCATGGAATGGAAATAATTGCTTGGGTGCAGGAATAGAAAAAGCAAATCAAAGATATTTTTGAGTGTCCAAATAATTATATCAGGGTTATTCTTTTTTTAAGATTGCCATTTTTATTTTATTTTTTATATATTTGAATTACAAACAAGATTGAATTACATGACGAGTGTCCTGAATCTCATAATTTTTCCTTGTCCTTGACCTGTGAGCCTGCCCTGTTATTCAACAGTTTTAATACTACACAAAACAATTTTTAAGAATAATACTTGTTCAATAAGTATGTCATGTGATTTAAATGGATAGAACATCTTTGAAAAAGCTAGAAAGTGAATTTCTTTAATTTTACTTTCAGCCATTGCTTTATTTCTTTGTGGTTGATATGAGCTGAACTGTCTGCTCACACTCACAGAAGCTGTAGTGGCTGTCCAAATGAAAGCATACACTGAGTTTTAACAGATTTTCAGAGGCATAATTTACACATCATCAAATTCACTCATCTTAAGTGTAAATTCAATCATGTTTTAACATATTTACTGAGTTTTCTAGCAATCGCCACAACCTATTTTTAGAATATTTCCATCTTCACACCCCACTGTCAGGATTCTGCTTTCTGTCTCTTCTCTGGGGATGGCCCACAAACACAAACCTGTGTGCCCTTTCCATCTGACTTCTTTCATTCCTTCTGTTTCACTTTATGCTTGTAACTTCTATCAGTATTTGATTCCTCTTCTTGTTTCCTCAGCTCCCTCCTTTTTCCCTCCCCATCCCTTCTCCTCTCTCTTTCCTTCCTGAACGGTACTTTTAATCATACTACTCTAATTGTGCTATTGAGAATGGGGAATTTGCAAGATACCTGATTTCATTTCTTGGCTCTCAGTGCTTGAGCATTCCATGTCAAAGAGCCACAGAGTTCATGTTTGATGAGAGTGTTCCCTCCACTTAAGATTTGTTGCTGTGCTCAGATACAGCAAGGAGGGCCTAAGCCCTCCCCCAAATGATATGACAGACTTTGAAGGTCCCTGGTGGAGGGCCCCACTATCCCTGGGAGGTGTTGGGGGATGGGTTGGGGGTGTTGGTGGGAAACATGGGAGGATGGGAGAGCAAGGGAATGAGGGAATGAATATGTAAATATGAATAGTAAAAGAATTTAAATTAAAAATATCAATGAAAAAAGAAAGACTTGTTGCTGTGTCCTCACATGGTGAGATGTGGGATAAAAACTAGCTAATTCTCCTAGTATTTATAGTCACTGTACCTATTCAGAAGGTATGTGCTCATGATGACCTGTCTAAAGATTTTGTTGTGCAATACTATGGCATTGGACGTTTAGGTGTCAACCTGAAATTTTGTGTGGCCACATTCCTGTTTATATTGTTTTCCTCAAGTAAGAACAGTTAATAAAACAATCAAATGCATTTTATTACATCAGTAGTTCCGAAAGTCTTAATATATGAACAAATAAGTTCAAAACCTGATTAAGTCAAACAACATGAAATCCTTTGGCTTGAGGATAGCAAGCTAAAACTTGATGTCAAAGGTTCTAGACACAGTGAGCAAGGGCTAGTTCTTAAAGCCTTTGGAAGCTTCACCCAAATGGCATTTCTGGGCACAGTCTACACAGAAAACTTCACAGATAGTGTTGGAGCACTAACTCTCTCAGGTATTGTATGATTGTTTCTCTTCAGTTGAATTGTCTGAGGCAGGCTCACCCTCAAGTCTTTACTAGGCATTATCACAGTGGGTCTTTTCTTTATCTATCCCAATCGCTAGGACATTTCTCTATGGGTAGAAAGAAATCCTTTGCTTGACAGATGAAAAATTTCTTCCAGGACTATGTACTCTGAACAGCTGCTGGTGTTTCCAATGAGATAATGGCCAAAGTTTATTATCTGTGTCCTCTGGAGGAGTTTTGTCAAACACACATTCTTATGTAGTGTTGAACTTGGACCCACATTAAGTGACTCAAGAGCTTTGTTATGCAATGCATGGAACAGAGAGCTGAGGCTGCTCTGGACACAAACCTAGAAATTCTGTGGGTACCTTGGTTTGCTTACTTGAAACAACTATAAAATTCCAGGCCATGTTATTTTTGGCTTGCAGTAGTCATGATGGTTTCCAAGGTCTCTGGAGTGACTTCAGGCTCCTTCTTCTATTGTGTAGATGAATAGCAAGCATCCGGCTTCCTTTTTCATACTAATCTCCTACCCTTGGTGTGTTTTCATGAGAACAATTTTTATTCTTCCCAATATGACCAGGATGAGGGAGGCTTTTCCGAGGCAAGTCATGCTGCTTCCTTTTACTCTATCCAAAGATAGAATTCCCTATGAATTATATTTTAAACTGTTTTCCTCTTCTATGATTTTAGTATACAATCAGGAAATGCCATGAAACACCCAAAATACTTAGATATTTCTGCTCCCAATAATTCTAGTTTATCACTCTTAAATTCTGGATTTCCTAAAGTCATGAACTTAATGTAGTCAAGTTATGCTGCTATGTTACAAGTACAACTTTTCCTCTGCTTTCCAATAAAACATCCATTTCTTACTTTCAACTCACCAGGAGTTATATAGTGTTCAACCAACCTTCTACTTACTCATTCCATAATCTTCTGCTACAATTCTGTTTTCTTTTACCTGGAGAGAGTTGCCCTTAGCAACACATTCAATATGATACAGTCCTTGTCTCCATGTTCCCAGTTTTCCAGGCTCTACCCGTTTGCGTTTCCCAAAGCTGATTCATCATCTATAGGCCTTCACTAAGCCTAAACCCTGTTCTAAGTTTTGATATCTTTAGTTGGTCCATTTCCATAAAAATGCATAGGAATGAATAATTTATAAGTTCCATAAATTTTGTTTCTAAGAGATTCAAATGAGAAGATGTTACAAATTAAGTTCTGTACCAGTTGGTGTCCAATGAGGGCCTTCTCTCTAATTCTAAGACAGTGTCTTGTTGCTATAACCTTACAAGGCAGACTGTAGAATGACTGGACATAATGATGTACTCATCCTCTGTCCATTTGTAAGATTGACTACCCTCATGTCTGAGGACACCAACTTCATTATTTTCCATCTCCTGAAGTCTCTACATTTTAATTCTTATATATGAATTGGAACATTCTTGTCCAAATCATTGTTGCTGCATACTGAGTTTCATGTTTCAAATTTATTATTACTCTTCAATATGCACAATATATTTATCACTCATAGTCTTTTACCTTTTATTTTGTAATTGAGAAATGGTACTATGCCTAATGCTAGTTTAATAATTCTAATTTGTGAATATCTTTTATCATGAAGATTTTCTACACTGAATCCTTTTACATATTATTTTTGCTGTAGAAGTTTGTCTTTAAAAAGTTTGTCTTATACTGTAGGTTCCTATTTGAGAGATATTTGTGTATTATTTTGGTATGCCACTGTATGGCAGAATACTTGTGACTGAATTATTTATAATGAGCAGAAGAGAAATTTGTTGTATCACAGTTCTAAGATCTGGTAAGTCCATCATAAATATGCTCAAAGTTGCCTGGGATCTTCTTATTCCATCACAAAATCCTGGGAGAATAGCATAAGGTTGTTTGGGAAAAGAAACATTACAAACAATACAGTAAATTATGCCACTAACAGCAAAGATCTTCCCACAATAATGACAGCAATTCATTTCATGAGATTCGGGTCCAAGCCCTTTCAGTATTATTACAATAGCCAATGAATATCAACTAGAATTTTGGCAGCAATAATGCTCAAACTGTATGATTTCCTTATTGCTAACATACAGTTTTCTGTAGATGTGCACATGTACATTGATTAACCTTTATTCTTTGTAAATTTAACAATTAGACTAAGAAATTTCTTGATTCTTTTATTCATTTGTGTGTTTTGTCTTAACATGCATTAAATATCTCTGGGAGTTATCTATTGTGGCTAACACTTTTGGCTATTAGGCAAAATAAAACTATACGTAATTAGTGCAATTAAATCCTTCAAAGCTATATTTTTCTGGGGAAAATTGCATATCAATATGCCAATTATAAAATGTCACTATGAAATGTGTGGTTTGTTTTGTTTTGTTTTTTCAAGACAGGGTTTCTCTATGTAGCTTTGGAGCTTATCCTGGCACTCGCTCTGGAGACCAGGCTGGCCTGGAACTCACAGAGATCCGCCTGCCTCTGCCTCCCAAGTGCTGGAATTAAAGGCATGTGCCACCAATGCTTAGTCCATGTTTTTGGTTTTTAAAGAACAACAGTGAAAAATAATGTGTGCAATTCGTGAGTCTTAATATTAATGTGTGTCTGCTCTTTTAGCATTTGTGGAATTCAGCATCTGGAACGAATTGGCAAGAAACTCAATCTCTTTGATTCCCTTTATTTCTGCATTGTGACATTTTCTACTGTGGGCTTTGGGGATGTCACTCCTGAAACATGGTCCTCCAAGCTTTTCGTCGTCGCTATGATCTGCGTTGCTCTTGTGGTACTCCCCATACAGGTAAACCGAACCTTGTTAACCTTTGTAGAGCAGTGTGAAGCCATGTAAAATTGAAAATTCTCTATTGATAAAAATCACTGGATTGATTATTCAACTTGAATATTGTGCTATGAACAGTTTAATGGATTGCTTGTGTTATTTCAGTAATGTCTTCTTAAATTTTATTGGACACATTTTTCCTCCAATCACAAGTGATAGCCCACATTTTGGCTCAATTATTCAACATCTATTCTTTTAACTCTAGATTATATGATATTACTAATTATGATATAATATAATTTTAAATTATAGGACTTTGACTAATGAATTAAATTTGACAAATAAACAAAAGAGGCATACATTGAGGTGGATTATAAATTAATTTCTCACAGGGCCATGGTGGCACACGCCATTAATCCCAGCACTAGGGAGGTAGAGACAGGCAGATCTCTGTGAGTTAAAGCCAGCCTGGTCCATAGAGTGAGTTCCAAGATAGCCAGAACTACACAGAGAAACCTTGTCTTGAAAAACAAAACCAAACAAAAACAAAAGGTTAATTTCTCATGTTCATGAACTAAAGCAATCTGTGTACACATTATGAAGCATTTTGGGAAGTCGATAGATTGCAAAGGGCAGATATATAAGCAATGATCAGTCTCTAATTCCTTGTTATAATGAGCGCTGATTGCCCATAAGTGAACCAATCAAGAACACAATATGACAAATGAAAATTAAACTTGCATGCTCATTGAATAACCTTATAACCACTTCATTTGCCATGCCTACTTCCCTAACATTCCTTTACAGCACTCACCACTGCACAGCTAGCATGGGGCACTGTGTATGTCAATGCAACTTTCTCCCCTTGTGTGATATGGGCATGAAAAAAATTTTGGATTAAAGCTGGCAGGGCTGTTACCTTTCATTTAGTCAATGGTATATTGCATCATACTTCCCTGGACACAATGCACATGGCCTAGCATTTTTGTGACCTGCCTGATATGGTGTAATAGTAAAATGATTCCAATGCTTTTCCTTGGAGACCTAAAGCCCCTGGGCCTTATTTTTATTCTCTGTGGAAATCATGTGGTCAGCCTTTGTCGAAAAGGATACTGATAGTTTGGAGCAACTATTTCAAGAGTAAGAGATTCTATATACCTGATAACAGATTGGGCACTGCATTGGGTTTTCACTTTCATGTGTGATGTTTTTCATTCACATGTGGAAAATTCATTACAGTTTGAACAATTGGCCTATTTGTGGATGGAGAGACAAAAGTCAGGTGGAAACTATAGTCGTCACAGAGCTCAGACTGAGAAGCATGTTGTCCTGTGTGTTAGCTCACTGAAGATCGACTTACTTATGGACTTTCTAAATGAATTCTATGCACACCCAAGACTGCAGGTAAATTTAAATTACATTATATAAAATCATGACTAACAGCACATTAACCCATAGTGAGGCTTGCATTCTGGCAAAGCTTTATTTGTATGCCCACATTTAAAACGGGTAAATATAATGAGGCACAAAGAAAAACAGCTGTGAGGAATAAACAGCTGTGAGGTTCCCTGCTGTACCTGTGCTAAGAGACAGTTGGGACTTGTTATTGCGGGAAAGGAGAATTTTATTTGACTTAAAGGATTGTTGTTGTTTTCTCTCTTGGGTCAAGCTTAAATGATAATTTTATGAAGCAGTGAATTTTAATATGAAATACAATAAAACAATGAAGAAACCATCTTGAAATGTGTAGTCATAAGTGTTGCTGACTGGAATGTCAGAGTATCCAAGTTCCGTATAGTAAAGTTTTAATATTTCTGTGTGTGTATGCATGTGTGTGCACATGTGAGTTTGTCTATGTATGTGCATGTGTGTGTGTACACATGTGGGTTTGTATATATCTGTGTGCATTGTGTGGGGGTGGGGGTGGGGGTGTGCATGGTGCATGTGTGTGTGCATATGTAGTTTTGTGTGTGTATGCATCTGTGTGGATGGTTGGCTGTAGAAGTTAGAATATTGTATTAAATCCCTGAGGGTGGTGTGTAGACTTTTGGGAACTGCTAGGAACCAACTTCAGGTCCTGTGTTAAGAGCACCCATTACTCTTATTTGCCAACCCATCTATCCATCTCCTAGAAGTTCCCTTTTCTGTATTCATTTTACTGGAGTAAGCACTATTGAGACAAAGTAGAATTAGGTTATATTTTTTGGTGAAATTAGTCCAGTTCAAAGAAAAAAATAGTTGCTGGTTTTGTTTTTCCTGAATGAATTTGTGTGAATAAAACCTTGAAAAGTGCTGAATATAAATACAATTCATAAGTGATATCTAAAATGCATAGTGTTTTAGCAGTTTATTCCTATATTATGTTTTTAACGTTTTCCATAAACTTTAATTTTCTATATGAAGATTATATATTATACTAAGAAAATCTAACCTGATAATGATCTCATAATAATTAACTGTATCTAGTAACAATATAGAGATTCTAAATACTATACATTTTGCTGTAGACACATTTTAGGGGACTCTAATAGGTAATGGTTTCCAGAGAAGCCAAATCTTTATAGATTAGCTTTAAGTCATTTTAAATTTTGAATATGTTTTCAAGGTCTCTAAATGATGGTATGCTTGGAAATATTTTGAACTAAAACTATTTTTTTATCATTTATTGTTTTCAATCTACAAACTCCTAACTACAAAGTTTCATCAGCAGTGGCTCCAAGGTATCATTCCATAATAAAATATTAGTTAAATGGATGTAATAAATTTGGTTTAAAAGCAACACTTTGAAGTATGAATTGACATTTTAACCTTTCTCTCTCCCATTCAGTGTGTATTTTACACTCACCCTGCATTGCTAACTAAACTGAAGGAGTGCATGGCACCTACTCCATGACTGCCTTCCTTTGTGGAACTGACGCAATAGAAATAGCTCAGGGTGACTGATTGTTTGCCTTTCTAACTTTGTTTATTACAGTGCAATCCTATTTAATTTGTCTGATATTTTTGTTTGTTTTTCAAGACAGGGTTTCTCTGTATTGGAGCCTGTCCTGGAACTCACTCTGTAGACCAGGCTGGCTTAGAACTCACAGAGATCCCCCTGCCTCTGCCTCCCCAGTGCTGGGATTAAAGGTGTGTGCCACTAATGCCCGACCTAATTTGTCTGAATTTAAATGTAAACTTTATTTATTACCCAAGAATTCATTTCACCTTGATCATAATTATAGAAAAATTCTTTAAGTTTGTTGTGTACTTCTGTGGGGTAACATAAAGCATGATTGAGTTTATGCCATTGCCCATTTTACCTTGAATAGGACTATTATGTGGTGATTTTGTGTCCTACGGAGATGGATGTGCAAGTTCGCAGGGTGCTACAGATTCCAATGTGGTCCCAGAGAGTGATCTACCTTCAAGGCTCAGCCCTTAAAGATCAGGATCTCCTGAGAGCAAAGTAGGCATCCTCACCACATTCTATCTCTCTATTAATCTTCAGTCCTCTGATGACTTTTCTAGAATATGTTTTGCAAGATACATTTCACAAATATTTAAATGTAAGATTTAGCTCCATGTTAGTAACTATAGAGCAATAATGCTAGAAGTATAGGCTCGTGTTTCCTACTTTTGTTTTAGGTCAGATGTTAGGGTAGCATGTCTACACTGGCCATGAGAAGTCATCATGATAGAATTTCATCAGCTGTCAGAGATAAACAAGATGTGTTCAGACTTCCCATTAAGAGAAGCCTCCAAATTTCACAATTCTGTTTTTATTTCACAAATGAAAGACTTGGACTAAATATTATGCGAGATATTAAGCATGTGTCAGGGTTTGAATTTTAAGGAGGTTCCAGCATGCCCTCAGCAACACCTTTTATGTTCCTGGGGTCCTCAGAGCTGGAGGCAACAGGATCCTGAGAGGTCCTGGGGAGTTGCCCTCATGTTGTTCATATGTCTGTCAATAGGTCTTCAAAGGTGACATGGTCTAACCATTTGTTGTGGGGAAATTGGTCTTCCAACACAGAAGCATAGTGAGGGGATGGGCTGGTAGGACTTCGGTCACCAAGGGATCAGGGCCAACACAAAACATTTCCTTAGTTTCAAAACCAGGAACTATCTCTAGCAGGCAGGGTTTTGTTGGATACCTGCTGCTGCTTTTAAAGATTTAAGTGTGTCTTTATGTTTTGTCTTGGATGCTCTCATGTACTGTTTTAAATTTCCTCATCACAGTTGATAACCTAAGACGTTTTGTTTTCATGACTCACTTGATGTCCCAAGTGGTGCTTCGGTACCCAGTAGTTGTGAATTCTGACATTACTTTTGATTTATTAAGAGGAAAGTACATTACCTGAGATTCATTTTATTTATTGACTCAATCTAACAAACAAAACAGTATCCATAAGCTACCACAATTGAATGAATGGTAAATATTGAAAAACTAAAGAGTATATTTCTGTTAAATACTATAAGTGATGGTCCTATAAACAGTCGTTACTGAATTCTAATGTGAATTGGAGATTTAACTGTTTCTCATTTGATATCTATATAATTATTAGAGGAAATTACCACATTTGTACCCTCCTAAAGATCTGTTTTCTTTTATCTGTATAAATCAATCTCCTTAAGTTACTATGAGTTAAGTTCTTCACACAGCTTTGTCCATGGTGTGTTGATATGCTTGAGTGTAATGGAAGCTTTTTGTTCTGGGAATTGAATGTAGGCTCTTTTTAGTTGTAGTTATCTCAGATTTATATTCTATGTACCTTTACTCATAATGTAATGATTTTCCACAAAAGGGTCACATTTAAAGAAAACATCCATGTGAACTGAAAATAGATAAATTATAGAAAAGGGACGACAAGAGACTGCTTGATCAGCTAGCAGTGTTCAAAGAGCTGGGCTGACCAGGACATCTCTTAGGATGACAGACTATCTATTGTATGTATATTTCTAATCCTAATTTCATATAAAAGATTCTGGGTTTAATGTATCTAATACATTCTTCATGTAATTCCCCATGCAAGGAACAAGGAGTAGCAGTCTCCAAACAGGTCCCAAAGGTCAGTTTAACTGCTTTACTGAAAATGACGCTTAGCGAAGGTTGTCAAATACCAATGTTATTTAGCAATCATGCCTCAGTGTTTTCTTCAGAATTGTTTTGTTTGGATTAGTTTCCTGGACTTTTTGTTTCTCTTCTCCAGCGAAAACATATTTTTTAAAGGATCTAACTTTATCACAGTGTACCAAAAAGATAAATTGTTACTCATTTGAAAAATAAACTTTCTCATGTTTTAAAATCACTACTTAGGAAGGACTAAAACACATTTTTTAGTTACTAAATTTAAGAATTAAAGAACATTATCATGAGGAAAAAGGGCTTGGAACAAAAGGTTGCAAAGTCCCCTGGAAACATGCAGTGGAGTTTGACTTGAAACCACTAATTGTATCTGTTCCCTCTGTCTGAGCAGTTGTATCTGAGAGGAGCTATCCATAAAATCAAGATAGGTGGTATTCCTAATACGTGCAAAGCATAATAAGGAAAATATAAAAGCTAACTTCAGCTTCTTTTCTTCTGCAATAATTTCTGAAGCTCTATGGCTAGGCGAGCTGTGTTTCTTACAAATGTAGCCATGTTCAGCAAGATATCCAACAGTCCTTTAAGCTTAAGGACATGCGTGTAGGATGTGGACCAGGAGATGACATGGTCACAATGGCACAGTCTCTCCAGCAGTCCCTCTGGTCACTCTGTCTCCTGTCTGTGTTTAGGATGGGCAATGGGTCACTGTCTACTGTCTGTCTGTGTTTAGGATGGACAATGCAGAGGCCTGTTTCATCCTGAGCAGCCGCTGTGAAGTGGACAGGACATCATCTGTAAGTACCTCAAAGCCCCCAGTAGAGTTTGCTTTCTGCCATGCAAGTTTTGTGCTTTGTATGAGTCAAAACAGAAACAAAGAACATAAACAGCAAACAAAAACAAAAAACAAAAGTAGCACAGTGAAATTTCCTAACTTTAAATTTTCACTAAAGTTAAGCAAATATTCATTAGCTATGATGATTTTAATATTAAAAGCATTGTCCATTGTGTCAACAAAAATGTTTTACTAATCTTCTACCCACTTTCTCTTAATCCTCTATCTAACTATGTCCTACATGATAAGTTTTGTTAAGTTTCCCTAACTGTAATTGAAAGCAGATTGCTCGATTATAATGGAATCAATTTGGAAAATTATATTCAAGGTATCTAGAGTGGGGACTGTAAATATGCATTATTTAAAAAGATTGTAGGGGGCACTTGGGTGGCAGAGGCAGGCGGATCTCTGTGAGTTCGAGACCAGCCTGGTCTACAAGAGCTAGTTCCAGGACAGCCTCCAAAGCCACAGAGAAACCCTGTTTCGAAAAACCAAAAAAAAAAAAAAAAAAGATGGTAGGGATCAGTTAGGTAACTTTTGACTTAACAGAATTTCTGTGATTTATTTTTTAATTCCAAACCTTTGTAATCAAAGTAATCTAAATGAAGTACTGAATTGTGACTCCAGTTTTCTAAAAGATAGTTAACTGAACTTTTTTTGTATGAATTTGGATTTGTAAATCATAATATGACATGATTACTGAACCTTAGTTGAACTTCTTTCTTATGAATATGTTGGCAAATTTAAAAAATCTCATCCTTCATTAGAAAATGTTTCCTATAAAGTGATTATATTTCAACAAGGTTCACATGATGAAGACATTACTCTTAATGGTCAAAAATTTAAAATTACCTAGAGACAAGGTATCACCAAAAGTTTAATGTTGTAATGAAGCCACTATTGTGAGTGTATACCCAAAGTAATGGTGTCTTACATAAGAAGAATATTTTAAGGAAGGCATATGAACAAAGAGTTTCAAAGGAGCATGAAAGTGAACAAAAGCCAAATAAAAATGCTAAGAGGGTCTCCCCTCACAGCTCTGGGAGGAACCATATTGTCACCACCATGAGTTCGGACTCTAGTATCTGAATCTGTGAGAGAGCAGATTTCTGTGTTTGAGCTGAGTTTATGGAGTTAACTTGAAACTAATCATTGGACATTACCCAAATAAATGATCTGAAAAGCTCCCAAATAGTTCTTTTACATATGCTTTTAAAAACCCAGGGCTGGAGAAATGATCCAGTAATTAACCATATGTAGTGTTCTTGCAAAGAACCAACTTCACCTCCCAGAAGCTTTATCAAGTTGTTAGCAGCTGACTGTGTGTCCAGCTTCAACAGGACCACTATCACCCTCTTCTGGCATCTGTGGGTACTTCCACATATGTACACACACACACACACACACACACACACACACACACACACACACCAACTAAAGTAAAAATTTTAAATCTCCTTACTTCTCTCCTCTTTCAAAGATGTTACTTTATTTTAATGTATCTCTTCCTTACTTCTGTGTAATTACAACCTGAAGTTCCCTAAATAGTTGGACATAAACTATTCCAGTCACATCTGGTAAAGTAGTGAATTTGAAATGCACATTATTTTGTATGTGTATATATTATTGTTTTACATGCAGTTGTCAATCTTCTTCACATGACTTTGTAACTTTATAAGCCTTATACTCTTTTTTTTTAACAGCAGGGACACATGCACAATCTATATATGCAAATAATGTATAGTATCTTACAGAGTTAACTTTCCATCATAATTTGGGAAACCTTCATTGACATGAATGCAATCCATTTCTTCCTGGTTATAGTAAATTGTCAAGAAGTTAATAAAAAATATCCCTAAGGACTAAATGTTAAGAAGATGAGACAACACTAGTAGAATTCTGGAAGTTAGAAAGCAAGTAAATGAGTGGCAACTGACTCATCCAGAGGAAGTTAAAATTTAGGCTTACAGAGGAAATGCATCACAGGTGGCTGCTGTTGGCAAGGGGACCTCAAAAGCCTTAGGAAAAACGGGGCCAGATGCTGCTTAAAGTGGGGCTGTATGTTCAACGTCAGCAAATGGAGCATATTCCTCTGATCTCTCCACACTTGCATTGCTTTCCTAACCCTGGGAGAAGAGGTATTGTGTGCAATTGGTTCTGTCACTTTCTAAGTCAGAAAGCAAATTTTGGGGCCATAGTTACATGCTACAACTCAGTGGATGGAGAAGAAATTGTGTGGTATATTTTTTATGCTTCTTCAAATATACATGCTTGTGGAAGTAGTCTATTATCAGAGAAAAATGCTGAAAATGCAGGTGTGAATGTGTGTGTGTGTGTGTGTGTGTGTGTGTGTGTGTGTGTGTTCACACATGGACATGTGTTTATATGTTCATATGAGTATACAAAGTAAGAAATCCCTGGTGCAATATGTGTTTATTCTATAATAAAACTATATATAATACCACCCTACCAGCATTCTTTTCTTTTTTTCTGTTTGATATTTTTTATTTAATTTAGCAACAATCTTATTCTACATATCAATCCAATTTCCCTCTCCCCCTCCCCTGTCCAACTCCCTATCTACTCCCCAAGGAGAGAGAGGCCTTCCATGGAGAATCATCAATGGCTGTCACATCATTTGGGGTGGGCCTAGGCCCTCCCCCGTGTATGTAGGCTGAGAGAGTATCCCTCCATGGAGAAATGGACTCCCAAAGTCTATTCATGCACTAGCAATAAATACTAGTTCCACTGCAAGAGGCCCCATATACTGCCCAGGCTTCCTAACTATCACCCACGTTCAGGAGGCCTGGTTTGGTCCTATGCTGATTCTCCAGGAATCAGTTTGGGGTCCATGAACTCATACTTGCTCAGGTCAGCTGTTTCTGTGGGTTTTCCCAGCATGGTCATCACTCCTCCATCTCTAAAACTGGATCCCAGGAGTCTGGCTCACTGCTTAGCTGTGGTTCTCTGCTTCTGCTTCCATCATCTACTGGATGAAGGCTCTAGGGTCACATTTAAGGTAGTCATCAATATCATTATAGGGGAAAGTTATTTAAGGTAGCCTCTCCACTATTGCTTATATTCCTAGTTAGGGTCACCCTTGCAGAACTCTGAATATTTCCCTAGTGCCAGATTTCTTTTTAAACCTATAATGGCTCCCTCTATTAAGGTATTCTTTTCTTGCTGGCCTCTATTGATGCCCCTACTCAATCTTCCCTCATGCTCTCCTCTCCCCTCCTCTTTCTGCTACCTCCCTCTTCCTGCATCGTGCTTCCAATTTGGCCAGGAAATCTTGTCACTTTCCCCTTCTCTGAGGGACTATGTATGTCTCTCTTAGGGTTGTCCTTATTTCTTAGCTTCTCTGGAGGTGTGGATTGTACTTTGGTAATCCTTTGCTCTATGTTTAATATCCATATATGAGAGAGTACATACTCTGCTTGTGTTTCTGTCATTAGGTTACCTCACTCAGGAAGGCTTCTTCTAGTTCCATCCATTTGCCTGCGAATTTCAAGATTCCATTGTTTCTTTTCCACTGAGTAGTAATCCATTGTGTAAATGTACCACATTTTCTTTATCCATTTTTCATTGAAGGGCATCTTGGTTGTTTCCAGGTTCTGGACATTACAAATAATGCTGCTATGAGCATAGTTGAACAGATGTCCTTGTTGTATGAATGTGCATCATTTGGGTATATGCCTAAGAGTAGAATTGCTGGATCTTGAGGTAGACTGATGGCCATTTTCCTGAGAAACCACAACCATACTGATTTCCAAAGTGGCTGTACTTTCCTCCCAGCAATGGAGGAATGTTCCCCTTTCTCCACATCCTCTCCAGCATAAGTTATCATTGGTATTTTTAATTTTAACCATTGTGACAGGTGTGAGGTGGTATCTCAGAGTTGTTTTGATTTGCATTTCCATGATGGCTAAGGATGTTGAGTACTTTCTTAAGTGACTTTCAGCCAGTTTAGATTTCTCTATTGGGAATTATCTATTTAGTTCTGTACCCCACTTTTAATTGGATTATTTGGTGTTTTGGTTACTAGCTTCTTAAGTTCTTTGTATATTTTGGAAATCAGCCCTCTGTCAGATGTGGGGATGGTGAAGATCTTTTCCCATTTTGTGGGCTGACATTTTGTCTTGTTGACTGTGTCCTTTGCCTTAGAGAAGCTTCTCAGTTTTAGGAGCTTCCATTTAGTAATTATCGATCTCAGTGTCTGTGCTAATGGTGTTATGTGCTTATGTTCCCACTTCCCCTTCCAGGAGGTTTAGTTTGTCTGGATATATGCTGAGCTCTTTGATCCATTTGGACTTCAGTTTTGTGCATGGTGATAGACATGGATCTATCTGTAGTCTTCTACATGTCAGCATCTAGTTATGCCAGCACCATTGATTGAAGATGCTTTCTTTCTTCCATTGTATAATTTTAGCTTCTTTGTCAAAAAATCAGAGGTGTTTGTAAGAGTGTGGATTAATATCAGGGATTTCAATTTGATTCCATTGATCTGCCTGTCTGTTTTTGTGCCAATACCAAGCTGTTTTCATTACTATAGCTCTATAGTAGAGCTTGAAGTCCAGAATGGTGATGCCTCCAGAAGTTCCTTTATTGCACAGGTTTATTTTCACTATCCTAGGTTTTTTGTTTTTCCATATAAAGTTGAGTATTGTTCTTTCAATGTCTGTGAAGAATAGTGCTGGGACTTTGATGGGGATTGCCTTGAATCTATAGATTGCTTTTGGCAAGATTGGCATTTTTACCATGTGGATCCTACGTATCCAGGAGCATGGGAGATCTTTCCACTTTCTGGTATGTTCTTTAATTTCTTTCTTTAAAGACTCCAAGTTTTTGTCATACAGGTCTTTTACTTGTTTGGTTAGTGTTAACCCAAGATATTTTATGTTGTTTGTGGCTATTGTAAAGGGTGATATTTCTCTGATTTCTTTCTCAGAAAATTTATTGTCT